TCCCTGGAAACTATCATGGTTAATTCCTGATGAATTCATCATGATGGGCTAACTGGCCTGTTTTCATTCTCATCTATCACCCTTCACTGGTGCTCCGCCAACGTATCGCGTTAGCGCAGGCGGGGCTACCAAACCATTTTCACCCATAAAAAAGAAATCCGTTATTTTGAGATTCTGCATATAGATATATGACTGTCTATTGTGCTATTAATGAGAAATAGGCTATACGGATTGCTTCGAAATTTTACAAATGAGGGGTTAGCTAACACTTAAAATTGTTATATATTTTATTTGAGTTGGTCAAGCTAATTATGAAATACTATAAATCTCTAGATTCTATTATTGTATTCATATTATACAATACTATTATTACAAATAGTATTTCACAATCTATCTATTGTATGAAATCACTTCCTCGAAAAAATAAATTACACATATTAAGAAAGATTTGCAGACGCAGTTGGTTTAAAACGTTTATAAAATATTCAACTTTGTCACCACGATTTAATATAAAATACGAACAATACTCTTTTAAGTCGTAAAAGAGTTATTACATATACGTATAACACCTGAGTCCTCAGGAATGGAAACGCATGGGGGGTATCATGGGCGAAACAGTATACTCTGTTAAGTCCATGGTACTGCTCATGTCTATAGGCGACGGTTACCACTTTCCATCAAGTGGGCCGTGAGCTTGTTTGCCATTCTAAGTTGTATAAAAAAAAATATGTACGTATTTATTATGTATATGAGTAAGACTGGTGAGAAAATGCGCTGAGATATTGCGAATTCAAACGACTTTATTTTGTTATATTTCATTTTATATATTTCATACTAACACGTATTTCATTTTATGTTTATTTATACGAAAATTTTTCTTAGCTTTACCTCTGATACTGTTCTGTAATCGTGATGTGATTTTGATGGACCATCCTTAATATTACTTTTACTCGTATACCAAATTTCATGACAATTGGTTAAGTGGGTAAGGCATCAAGAGGTATCAAACTCACTTCTGTATTAGTAACGTGTATATAATATATATCATAAGTTACATTCTGAATCTAACTGGATTATAATAATGTTACATAGATGATGATATTGAAATCTGTAAATAAATACTTAAAAATGCGGCACTTGAGTATTTGATCAATAGATTTTATATTACGTGTGGACATTTCTTGTGTTGGCCCGTGTCCAACGTGGACAATTCAAATATTAGCGTGAATAGCATGCTCACGACATTTGGCTAGGGTTGTCAACTTAGAAATAATAGTAAAAGTTTCTTAATATTCGAGTTTTAAGCGGCCATTTCTGCATTGTTGTTGTTGTTGTAACAGCCGTTAATTGTCCACTGCTGAACAAAGCCTACTCTATAAGAAGGGTTTTGCCAGTAGTTGCCAGGCTTGGCAGGCGAGTTGGCAACCGAAGTTTGGCACCGCACTTTTGGTGATGTTTTAAGAGGACGACTGCTGCCCATCCCTCCATCATAAGCTTCCTTAGTCGCCTTTTATGACACCGACGGGAAAGGAAGGGATGACCTATTCTATGCTGGGATCTACACTAATATATTTCTGCATTAACGACCTTTATTTGTAGAAAAAACGTAATAAAATTCCTTTGTTAATTTTTTAATTACCTCTTATGTTAATGCAATAACAAAAAATAGTTTGCTTATTTAAAAACAGACGTGCAAACCTTATATAATTCTTTATAGGAATGCGACATCTCACAAAGAGTCTAAAATAAGATATTTTACTAAACTAGATGTTATTTGGCGGAATTCCATATCACTAGTTGTTTGATTAGAATTATTTGGTTTAGTTCCGCTATCATTAGTATGTGTACGACTGCCAACATACGAAGATTGACTATCATCACTATAACCAGAAGCTTTATAAGCGACATTAGCCATCTATCTCCGACCGCTATTTCGTCCACGCATGTATTGCGACACGTGTATCACCATATTATTTATTTTCGTTTCTAATACTAATTTATTTTAGTCAATCTTTGCGTATTGGCAGTCGCCAACATATGTTATAATGGTAGCTAATGAATCTATACCTCACTAACTAATTAACAAACTAAAAAGCTTAATTACTGATTTACCAGTACATTCTTCTAAATACAAATCACATCTTATTTCAAACTAGATTGCTTGATAAAATATATTTACAATATATCAGCATCCTATCAGCCGTTACCTATCCATTGCTGAACATAGGCCTCATGGTATTGGGGTGTGTGACCAGAAGTTGTGATGTTAGATGTGAAAGAGGGACTTTGTTGCCCATCCCTCGACCATTATGTTCTCTTAGTCGCTCTTACGGCACCCAAAGGAAAGGAAAGGGAGGCTCATTTTATATAAGGGATCACACGGCGACAAATATTTTAATATATTGATATATTTTGATAAATCTTTCTTTAACATTTCAATTACAATTAAAGCTTTCTTTTTTGAAAAAATACTACAGATGGCAACCCTGACGCAAATAAGTACGGTTCTATGCTGATTTTTCAAACTATTGTAACAATGGGGAATTACATTGCACAATTATAACTTAGTATAACAAATTTATAACTATATACAGACAAAATTATATCTCAATGTTTACCTGGAGACCACTAATAATGTGAAATTTTTGGTATATGTACTTTCTAGCAGTTGAAGAACATATTATTATGAAAAAGATAATTTCTTTGCTAATAAGCAGTATGTAAGTATACATAAATAAAGTTAACAACTATAATAAAAATAAAAACATTATTACAATTATTGCTAAGCTCTTTATAAAATATTAATTTTATGTATTGAATCACAGTGTTTTAATTAATAATATGTTTTTATATCTTGAATGAATTTAAAATAGGAATAACCACATAGGTGTACTATGGGCATTATTGTGTATATTGTCTCTACAGATATGAAAACCATGGATATCATAAATGATGACGACTATTTTGCTTCAGGTAGATCTTCAGATTGTTTGCGTTCAGACCTTATAAAAAAATTTGAATTCGATAAAAATATTATGAGATCACACGACAAATTAAAAGCGAACTTTTAAATTTTTACACTGTTTAAAACAAAGTACAATTATTTATTTATAACTTCAATTTGAAAGGTACCAATTCAGTAATAAAGACCGTGAATCGTGAACTAATAAAATATTCATAAACGATAAAATAGCGATAGACAAAGACGGAGTGATTAGCAGAATTGATTCGGTTAGTCTCTCAAATTGAGGTTTTGGAGGAGAACCCTCGTCACTTTTGTGTGTCAGCTGTCACTGTGACCTAGCTCCTTAATCTGCGCCTGGTTATAGATTAAACAATAATTATCTATCTAATAATATTAAATATACAATTTAGCTATTCACCTTTGGAATGAACTAACAGTTTCTACGAGAAAAATAAAATCATTGTCGAATTTTTATTTACAAGTAAAAAAATACTATTTAAGAAAATCATCTCCGTCGTAGTACCTAGTATATAGTAGTATATTAGTATATTTGTCTTTATATAAGTTTATATATGTATATTTATATATATATATATATATATATATGTATGTATTATTAGTTTACGTCTATATATGTAAGTATAAGTATTTCATTATTATAATATGTAAGTATACTTTTACATATAATTTTATACTGCGTTTAAATTTATATTTAGCCTTCTTTTCTCCTTTTTTTTTTGTTTTATTTTTTTTCTGTTTCACTTTGACCAGACACAAGCTCTCGCCATCTTAAGGTTATCTTGAATAGATTGCTATTTAACTATAAGACCGCCCATTGTTGCTTCTTTATTTTGCTTTTAATTAATTAATTATTCATTTTGTTTATGTACTAATTGTTAATCTTTATAATCTGTATCGTTCTTTGAATGGACTTTGATGAACAATAAAGAGTTTTTATTCATACAAATACGTATATACTGTGACGAATACATAAAAAAGATGGTATTTCTGTTTCATTATTGAATATTGTATTTGGAAAATAGACTTTGCTTTTTTTATAATAATATCTAATCCTAACCTAACCTAATCTATTTATATTGTCTTCATGCCAACATTATTTACGGGAAAGGTATAATAAAAAATCGTCAATCGAGTTTTCCACTACAAATCTCTTCATATAAATATAACTCATTCGATGAACGCACGCCAGTTTCTGAATGTTATAAATTACTAGCTTTTACCCGCGACTTCGTTCGCGTGACTAGAATATGTTTATTAACCGGGATTAATAATAGCCTACATCCTTCTCCAACTCATATAATATGTGTATACCAAATTTCGTAATGATTGGTTAAGTCGTCAAGGCGCAAAGAGGTAACAAACGAACAAACTCACTCTCGCGTTTATAATATTAGTAAGGATAGTACAGATTGTAGTTTTCTCTTGGTACCTGCATATTAATTAATAATAATAAATTAATAAATACCTTGTACCTACTGATAGAATGAAAATATAAATAGATAGATAGATACTCTTTATTATTTCCTCCATAAGATTACAATAGTACACTTATTATAAATGCAAACAATTACAAGAAAATATAACACTAAGAAAGTAATATGCGGCTTTATCGCTAAGAGCAATCTCTTCCAGACAATCTTTGGATGGAGAAGAGTAATTAAAATTGTGTTTGGTTAAAGCGTAACATAAAAATAATAAGACAAAAAAAAAGAAGAAAAGAAGGCTAAAGATAAATTTAAACGGTTTGACTATATTTATTAGAAATTATTATAAATATAATACATCACACTAATTTTTAATCTCAGCGTTGCAGCGGCTGGGTATAGGTTTTGTTTGGAGATTTCCTTCTTTATTCGAACACATGGCTCCAATAGGTTATAACAAAACGAACTCACGTTTACATTCATAATAATCGTTCATTTCTCATGTGAAGGTAACGCCCTCAGGTCTCAAACGTTCCTAGGTCGCCTCTATTGTACACGAAAAGATTACAAACGACATTCATTTGTTTTAGGTGCAATATGCGGGGGTCAGTGCTGCGGCCGAGGACGGGAAGAGCATCTACGTGCCGCCCTGAGGAGGGCCGCTGTAGAACAGGCTGCATTGAAGACCAGGCCCATAACTGATCTGTTGCTGTCCACCAGGCGGACCCTCCAAGGTTAGTTTATTTTATATTATCTTTAAAGCATTCTGGGTCAATAATTAACTAAAGTTAAGCTAATATATAATATCGTTAACAAATAAAATAAATTGAAAATTTTGCATTGGCCACAAATTACAGTTTGATGTTTTTTTTATAATATATAATCGTAATATAATAATGTCAGTATAATCTTACTTAATGATGGCTCTGTCTCGGAAAGAAACTGTTCTATTTAACCTAACATTAACTGCAAATAGTTTATAAGTATATATTTTTAATATGATTAAATATTACATAACATATTAGATAATATGATTAAATACATATATATGTGGGGGAATGGCAATTATCAGCAATAGAGTTTTACAGCCCCATTGCTAGCAATATGCCCTATTAGGTCGACCTCCACGTGGTTCCCTCTGAAAACCATCGTGAAGAATTCTGGGTTGGGGTACCCATTCCATTATCACCCATTAAAAAAATGCATATATAAAATGGGGGATAAAATTTATTCCTAAAAAAGACAACTGTATTTGTTAATAACAACCACATAATCGAATAAAACAATAATTACATCATAACTTATGCAAGGATAAAGCTATCCATATGTAACACATCGAAATGTGTACATAAACATGAACCTACCACAATAGATGCGGCATCGCACGCACGTACTTTACAACAATAAATATTGGATTGTATACTGAATACATAGTCTAATTAATAAAAGCAGTGCTTTAAACTGGATAATCATGAATGAATGAACGAATGAGTATACTTTATTTGCATTATACAATAGAGGAAATAAGCAAGACAATTTACAAACACAACGATACAATTGTATAAGTACAGTAAGGCGGTCTTATTGCTGAGAGTAATCTTTTCAAGACAACCTTAAGGTAAAGGACTAATTGTGTACAAGTAGGTATGATAGTACTGTATAATTAAAAAAGCATCTTTTGGAAATTAAAAATATATAATAAATCATATATATGAAATACAAAGTAGACTTCGAAATCACATTTAACCTCTTATTGTTTATGATTATGGACGATCTGGTGTGGTAAGAATATTGTAAATTAGAAATTGACGTAGAATAAATGCTATAGAAATATATTAATAATTCTTGATCCTTGAATATGAATTCCTGCGCACAGTTTATGTCAACTATTGAGTACCTAGTAACTTTTCATTTCGATTTAAGGAAATCGGAATTTAATGTACAACTGATAAAGGCGTTATAGTCATATTATAAAATACTAAAAAACCCTTATCAGTAACCTTTGCAATTAATACTAATATCCAGGCAATTTATAAAGACTTTTTTTATATATTAAAAATTATAAAAAATTAGCTACACCCACAATTTCGTACACATAATTGAGCTAAAAAGTAACTTATTTTCTTCCTCATACCACAACATCAAATTGTATGTCAAATTCTATGACGATTGGTTAAGTCGGTAAAGTGACAATTAGTAACAAACTCACTTTCACAATTCTGATATCAATAAAGATATAATGAACTACTGCATAAAATAGTCTATGGACAATACTCATCAGCGCACAATAGTTGTTTAACAAACACTCCCGCCATAGACAAATTGGGCAGTGCGTACTATACCATACACAGCCTGAGCGTACACCAAACATTGATAACGCTCGTTGATGACGGGCGATTTGATACGGGAACTATTCAGATGTAATTGTGTGACGACCTAGTTACCGTAATCGTCATGCGTGTGGCCCCTCATAAAATTCACGCGTTTCGTAATTAGATAGTGTTGAGATTTATTAAAATAGAATTTTCCTATAAATTTAGTCCCTCTGCACATTATTATTGCCATATTTCCATATTTAACTCGAATGTTTATAATAAATATATTTATTTAATATGTAAATGACGTGACGGGTGAGAAAAATTTGTTACAAATGTGTAAAAGATTGAGAATTGGCGTTTGTTCCATTTGTGTACATTTATTACAAAAATATTATATTATATATATATATATTATATATTAATAAATATATTAAATTTTTATAGTAAAAATTACTAAAGATAAGCAGAATTATAAGAAAATAGTAATTCATCTTATATAATTAAAGTTCCAATACCAATGAATATTTAACTTGAAAAAATTTAATTAAAATAAACTAATACAGCTTTATTTACTATCTACTCAATTTTTTAGTAAAATTATTTTAATTTCTGATCTGAAAATTTTAAATCAATGTTGAATTGAGAAAATTATATTTATTGAAGCTTAATTAACATAACGTTCAATTGTAACTATTAGAATGAATTATGAGAAATGTATAATAATATTCTAAATTCATTTTATTTGAGTTACGGGTCCTATTTATTCCATAATGAGGCCTCAAAATCCTAAAAAGCTATTACTTATATATTGTGACATTAATAAGAATAACAAGGTGTAAGGATGAGGAAGCCATTTTGTAAATTATTGATATATATCTCTCCCGAATACAGCTATTCAGGGGAGATTTCTGCATTATCTGATGTGTTAAGTATTAAATTTCATTTAAATCCATTTAACATTTCAATCGTAATTTAGTAACAATTCGTATAATATTCGTATATACAATTATCATATTTTCATTTTCATTTAAGAGTTTCCTCTTGTCGGTGCAACTAATTCATGCATCTTCCTCCAGCCAGCTCTATCCCAGGCCATATCCTTTATCTCCCTATACGATTATTATCATATTAATCATATTAAAAAAATGTTCTTTTGTACAATATAATCTGTTCATTGAAATGTTTTAAAAGGATATCAAATTTGAAAACAAATAAACATATTTCGATTTATTTTAAGAGCAGTTTGATTAAAATTTAAAAACGAAAAGTCATATAAATGTGTTGATATTTCATTGTACATTGTTCTGAAAATCAATAAAAGATAACATCCCTTTAAATTGCAGATTATTTTAATTTAGGAGTAGGTATAGGCACCGCGGAGCAGTAAACGAGTTGTAAAATTTAATGTTACTGATATTTACTTTTCAATTGGGGACACCTGGTACAGTTAGATATCGCTATATTGCTTAATCAACCTGTCGCATATACCTAATTTGATAAAGAGCGATTGAGTGAATAATTGTCACTTTATTTACGTATTAATTATACAAAATTTGGCTAATTTCTTATGAAAATAGACCTTTTTTCTATTCTACTTGTAATTTTTGAAGTGCTTAAGAATTAATTAACTTTACTTACGCGCCATTAACTGTATCTCGTGGTTTTACTCACGTGTATATATAAACTAGATATCCTTTGTTCTAAGTTAGGATATAACCTAACCGTACACTAAATTTTATACAAATCCATTCGTTATTTTTATGTGTAAGAGTAACAAACGTCCGTCCATCCTCACAAACTTTCCATTTATAATCGTAGTGGGATTGTTAAACAATGTATTTCATTTTAATAGAAACATTAAGTTGTATCTACTTTTTAATAACCCATTAACGTTATATTAACTTATTCAATAGGTGAGTTACATAAAATATGAATCATATTATTATTTATGTATTTTATTTTAATCCCCTGAACTGGTAACATCTGTCTGAGATTTGAAAATGAATACATTTTCCAGCAGACGGTTCTATACAGTTTTTAAAGTACAGATGTCTAATTAGGATAATTTATATTTGCATGTAAAATGAGAATGTACCCTTTGAAGAAGCAAATTATATAAAAGACAGACTGTCGTATGTGTGTTTTACCTTAACGTGGGTACGCTCGTGTTTTGGTTTTTAAATAACTTTCAAAAGGAAGTAATTCTCAATTCGTCTATATTTTTATGACTATGTTAAGCGATTACTTTGATAAAACTGATCCGATTTTGATAACTTTTGCAAGAGACGAATTTATTGTCGTTTTGATCTCGTCTTAATCTTATGACGATTAACGCTACCGTTTTTCTTTGTGTAGCAAAAAACTGATTTTAACGATGTAAAATATGATTGTAGACACGATTCCATATTCTAAATTAAAATATTTCAATTCAATCTAATTCTAATGTAAGGTGTTGTCGTTTTTCAGCGTTCTTTTTATACTGTTTTTTTTTTTATTTCACAATAAAAACAGAGGTAGCTGTTTTTATTGCAGACTATAATGTAACCGGTAATGTAATCGATTTGGATGCATAGAACTGTAGGTATATACTACGTAAAGTATATGTTACTAATACCAGAAGAATATTACGTATTCAAAAGACGTGCATAAATACATCATCGACAATAAATTGTATGCTTTCCCAGTTGTTATCCAGGTTCAGCTGTCTACTCGCAAGGATAAATTGCCACCCACGGTGAAGAGCCCATACATATCTAAACAATACAGAATAAAATCGATTGAAGCAATACGTAATATGAAACTATAGGGCGTTTATTTCTCGTAACATATATCCTACCTTCGATATTTTCTAGACTGTCTAAATGACGTATTGAAATCAATATCAGATATTTATTATAGGTGATATGAAAGTAAAGATATTTTTTTTTATACAACTTAGAATGGCAAACAAGGTGACGGCCTACCTTATGGAAAGTGGTAACCGTCGCTTATAGACATAAGCAGTACCATGGACATAACAGAGTATTCTGTTTCGCTCATGATACCCCCCATGCGTTGCCATTCCTGAGGACTCAGGTGTTATTTCTCTGTACCTTGTAAATTCACGCCATATCCTACCCCTCAAACCGAAACACAGCCATGCAAACACAACTGCTTCACGGTTGAAAGACGAATGGGACAGAGGTACCCAAGCAAACGACTTTTGTACAAAGTCTCCCTCTGATTTGTACATGAAAATGGAATGACAGCTCCTTCTGTGCTAATGGTTTACATTGACAGAGGTGAGGGATGATAGATAAGAATGAAGTTTATAGTGACTCGGTGAACTCGGTTTATGGTGACAAATTCATCCGAAATTAACCAATACAACCAACAAAAGTGAAATGCTTAGAAACCGATTTAATATTTGACTGACA